TGGGCAAAGCCGCATGTCATAATCCAGCATTCTCGCAACGCTCAGCGCCAGCATGGTGTACACAGCATGGCAAGTGCCAGGGTGAGTGCTGCAACGGATCATGTCCAGCAGAGCCTGGCACAGCTTGCAAACCTCCTCGGCTCGCGCCTCCGCGGGGCCTTCCTCCTGGATAGCGCGAATCGCGCGGACGCGCATAGCACAGCGGCCCTGGTGATGATGATGGTGATGGTGATGGTGATGATGATCATCATGCTGATGATGATGATGATGACGAGGAGGAGGAGGAGGAATATGATGATGATTGATGGTGGTGATGATGCAGATGATGATGATGATGGTGATGATGATGATGGTGGTGGCGATGAGGACATGCGGACGGCAGAGTCAAGACTGGGAAAAGTGGGAAGGGGGGAGAAGGAGGAGGAGGAGGAGGAGGAGGAATAACTGAAGGAGACGTGAAGCGCTGTCTAATCAAAAAACGAACCAACACCACAGGATGGTTGGGAAAAATGCGAGTCTACTCTTATACACGTGACGTGGCAAGATGGGGGGCGAAAAAGTACAAATCTAGTCTACTGGTCACGTGACAGCGCAAGCGGGCGAGAATAATTCGCATTCGCGCGATTCCGAAACCCTCGCACGGTCCCGCAGAGTCCCAGACCCCCGCACGATCCGGGAATGGGAATGGAATGGGACGCTCGTGCGGGCAATCGCCCGGGCCCCTTAAGGGCGGAGCGGGTGAGGCCGTGGCCTCGCAGACATGGCCGGCTAGCTGGAAGCTTACTCAGGCGGCCGGCGCCACAGAAGTATCAGGAATGGAACACGTGACAAATTGTGCCTCCAGTTTAGTCCAAGTTGACTCGTCGGTCGCCAGTTTAAGCCGATCGATGTCGTTCACGTCGTAGCTGCTCCGGGCGGGTCTCTCTTGCACACCGTGGGATACGAGAAAATCACGCACGTCGTCATCCCATCGCTTCTGCTGTCCTCCCGAATTCCTGTTGCCTTTTTGAAAAGCATGAGGGCTCGGGTGCCAGTTGACCACACATTGAGACCATTCTCGAGGGGACTGCTTCGCCACTCTCGCGGCACATCTCCACACCAATCGCCGTTGCCTCGTACTCCAGTCGATAACACTGTGCTTGTGCATGAGGCTTTCTGCTTGACTTGTCGCGCGCCTGATGTAGTCGACCCACGACTCCAAGACAATGCTCTCCGGTGCGACGTTCTCCTCGTTGTCGGTGCTGGGGATGTTAGCTGTGCTGGTATCTGCGTTTGGGTGGGTAGATGACGGTCGGTTGCGTTTTGCTTCTCCGTGCGTGTCGTCTTCGTGGGTTTGCGGTTCTGTCGTCGCTTGAGTCGTGCGTTGGTTGGTCGCACTGGATGCGGGCCTCGCGTTGGCGGTGTTGCGTCGTCGTGGGGAGCCGACAATCGTTCGTAACATGCGTCGTTGGGTGCATCGTAACTGTTGTCGTAAAGGCTCGGTCAGAGTCCAGTGGCCGCCCCGCGTAGCACCGTCGGTGTGACAGTGCCTTCGAAAAGCCGGAGTCGGTGCTTCAAGGGGCAGTGCTTCGCTGTGAGTTCCTCTTCGCGAGCAGCGAAGGCTGCCCAGCCTGCCTTGATCCGGTGTTGCACCTCGGTCTGCATGGCGTCTTGGAAGCTGATCTGCTGCCCCAAGTACTTGACTGACCCACTGTGAAGTAAAATCTCGATTTCCACGCTGTTGATGCTCACCTTGCGCTGCCGTGCCCCCCCAGTCCTCTCAGTCAAATTCGTCGGGATCTTCGTCTTGTCCGGGTGGATGTGGAGGCCGTGTCGTTGCGCAGCTGTGGCCATGTGTTCAAGCATTGTCGCCGAGCGCGGTGAGGTGCGGCTCGTCAGAAGGACGTCGTCGGCAAAGCGCAGGTTGGTGAGAGAGCAGTCTTTATTGAAGCCGAATTGGATGCCTTGGTTGCGCTTTTTCCATGCGTCGACAAGTGGGCGCATGATGTGTTCAAGAAGCGGATTGAAAAGTAGTGAACTAAGGGGATCGCCATGCTTTGTGCCCCTCTGCAGGTTGAATGGGCGGCTGGTCGCGTCTGTCCGCACCGCGGCTGTTTGGCCAGAATACATGTTCCTGAGTAGGTGCATGTAGCTTGGTGCGATACCCTGGCTCTTGAGTGCGGCCCATAGGCTCTCGTGCTCGACCGTGTCGAAAGCCTTCTTGAAGTCCAGCGTTGCTATCCAAAGTGGTTGGTTCCATTCCCGAGCTCTCTCCCGAAGCATGTGGAAAGTGAACAGATGATCTTGCGTCGAACGTCCCGGGCGAAATCCTGCTTGGTCTGGGGGCTGTTGTTTGTCCAGGGGCGGCTGTAGTCTATTGCATAGAAGCTTGCTGAAAAGTTTGTAGAGCAGGGGAATGGTGCAGATTGGCCTGTAGTTCTGAGGTTGCATGGGGCCACCTGCTTTCGGGAATACTGTGATGACTGTCTGTCGCCAACTCTGCGGAGTAGGCGCGTCGGCTTGTATGACAGCGCTGTATAATTGGAGTACGGCTCGTTTGAGCTCAGTGGGTGTATGCTTCAACATGTCGGCCCTGATTCCGATCGTGCCGGGTGCTTTTCCCCGCTCGAGGTTGGACAGTCCCCTGTTGAGCTCGTGGATTGTAAAAGGCGGCACCGTGTCGTCAGAAGGCTCAGGTGGTGAAGATTGTCGAGTGGAGTGTGATACAAATTCTCGTAGAAATCTGCAAATACGTTCGCAATTGAGTCTCTGCTGGCATGCTTCGCGTCGCCCTTGCCGCGCATTTCCGTGATTAGTGTACGCTTCCGCCCTGATTTGATGGTCGTGATGCGCTTGAGTCCACGGTAGTCCTCGAGTATGGTGCTGATCTGCGCACGTCGTGTTGCTCGTTTTTGCCGTCGCATCTCTTGTCGGATTTGCTTGCTGACGTCGCGTCGGGACTGTGCATTGTCATTCGGGATGTTGCGCCTCTGCTGGATCAGCGCTTGGAAGTGCACGTTGGTCGAGAGGTGCGGTATCAGTTGCGCCGGCTCCGCAATGCTTTTTGTCGTTGCTTCCAACATGGATGTCTCAATGTGGTTGCTGAGCTCTTCTGGCGGTCGCGGTAGGTCTGCTGCAGAGATAGCGTCCATGGCCGTTGTGCGATACGCCTCAACGTTGACGCGGGCCCAGCTGCGGGCGGTCGTGCGTCGCGATGCGTGCTTGGGCTGGCGCCGTTCGTCTGCGCACGCCGGTCAGTGGAGATGCGTCGCTGGAAGCAGAAGTGCGCAACCACGGCCTTAAGATCTGAACCTAAGTCCACTGCGTTGTTCGCCTCCACGTTGCGGCATTGTCGGAATAGGCGCCTGGAGGCAAGGATGTAGTCGAACTGCTTCTCGGAGCCACTGCTGTGTGCAAGTTACTTGCTGCCCCACTGGCTTGCGAAAAAATGCATTCGCGATAACAAGACGTTCCTTAGACGCCCACGCACGTAGCCAAGCCCCCCTCGAATCACACTTCCCATACGCGCGATGTCCGATGTGCCTGGCGTCAGTCCTAGGCTCGTCGTCGTCGGCATAGTCGTCGTGCCGCATGGGTTCGATTGAATCCAGGCGTCCAACTTGTGCATTAAAGTCTCCAGCCACAATAACATGATGTTTTTGTTCGCGAGCTTCGGCGTGCAATGCAGAAATCATCGTGTACAGTTGCTCCACATGTTGGCCACTGTATCCCGCGTGCGGGAAATACGCTGCGACTGACACCAATTTGAATGAGCCCCGCCGTATGTGGAGCGCTGCAAGCCTAGCGCTAACACCTTGGAGCTGTTTGATGTGTTTGCCCCATCGTTTGCGAACCAACACGCCAACCCCGTGAGAGGGCTGATCATGACCAGATCCGGCAAAAATATGGCCTTCGGCAGTTTCCCACATCTCTGAAACTGCTGTCCTCCAGGTTTCGATGAAGAGTATGAAGTCCCAATGTTCTGTGCCCATCTCGATGATCACCTCGTCAATGCGGTCATCGTTAAGAGAACGTGCATTTTTGTGAAGTACCGTTAGTGACCACGTGCCATCTTGGGCTGTGGCTTTATGGTCTCGCCGGTGTCTTGGTTGAGATGGTCCACTGTGAATGCTCAGCATGTGTGGAGGGGCCTGAAGAATGCAAGCGGGAACGTCGCCGTCGACGTGGGTATAATCGGCTCTTCCCCCGCCTGTGCTCTTGCGTGGATGTGCGGAGTGGTGCACTGGTGGACGCTGGGTCAGAGGTGGGAGCTGGAGGGCGGCAGGTGTGGATGGTGGTGGTGGGACGTCGAATGTTGGCCGCTGGAGGTCGGAATGCTGGGCCGTCGGAGCCTGGAGGTCGATAGGTGGGGATGGTGGTGGCGGGAGGTCGAATGGTGGATGCTGGAGGTCGGAATGCTGGGCCGTCGGAGCCTGGAGGTCGATAGGTGGAGATGGCGGTGGTGGGAAGTCACACGATGGACGCTGGAGGTCGAAATGCTGGGCCGTCGGAGGTTGGAGGTCGATAGGTGAAGATGGTGGTGGTGGGAGGTCGACTGTTGGACGCTGGAGGTCTGAATGCTGTGCCGTCGGAGGCTGGAGGTCGATAGGTGGAGATGGTAATGGCGGGATGTCGAGCGTTGGGCGCTGAAGGTCGGAATGCTGGGCAGCTGGAGGCTGGAGGTCGATAGGTGAAAATGGTGAAGGTGGTAAGTCGGATGGTTGAGGTTGCAGGTCGGAATGCTGGACTGGTGAAGGCTGGAAGTCGGTAGGCGACTGGGTTGGCGGTGGCTGGAAGTCGATAGGTGGAGAGGTTGAACGTGGAAGTGGAAGTGAAAAGTCAGATGTTTGAGGCTCGAGGTCGGTGCTGCTCCCAGAGGTGGCCGAAAATGTGGGTAATGGCCCCGGGCTCGCGTCGTAACGGCACTGGGCCGGCTCGGGGTCGGAGTGCTGAGCTAGTGGACGGTGGAGGTCGACAGGTGGAGATGGAGGTTGAATGTCAACTGCTGCTGGATGTTGTAGGTCGGAGTGTTGAGCTGCTGGACGCTGGAGGTCGTTAGGTGGAGGTGGAGGCGGCGGTGGAGGTGGAAAGACAGATGCTTGAGGCACGTGGTCGGAGTGCTGAGGTGCTGGACGCTGCAGGTCGATGGGTGGAGGTGGAGGTGGAAAGTCACATGCTGCTGGAGGGTGGAGGTCGGAGTCTTGAGCTACTGGACGTTGGAGGTCGATAAGTGGGGGCGGAGGTATAAGTGGAAAGTCGGGTGTTTGAGGCTCGAGGTCCGAATCCTCAGCTGGTGGACGCTGGAGGTCGATGGTTGGAGGTGGAGGGAGAAATTCATATGCTGTTGGAGGGTGGAGGTCGGAGTGCTGATCTGCTGGGCGATGGGGGTCGGAGCCGGGGTTGAGTGCAGGAGCCAGCATCTCGATGATCTCCTTGTCGTAGTAGTCGGGCAAAGTCCTCGGGCCACAGATCTCCTGAGAAGGGGGTAAGACTCGTCGTAAACCTAAAGGGACATCTCCAGGGACAGTCACGCATTTTCCTCGGCCTCCCCCTGCTGACCCAGGGGGGGCGGTGGAACGCTGAGGTCGGAGGTCGGAGTTGGGAACAGGTGTTGGGGGGCCAGAGGGGTCAGAGTAGGGAGCCGGAGTCGAAAAGACAGGCCCTTGTCTGTGGGATGGGGTCGTCGCCGGCGTAGTCGCTGCATCCGCAGGCGGCGAGACGCAAGGATGTTCAGCAAGAGCTTGTGGTGGGGATCTGTCCTGGGCCGATCCTGATGGAAGAGCTACTTTGGGACATTCCCCCTCCCCTTGTATATCGATTCCCCGACCTCCGCCTGAAGAACGGTTTTGGTGGGTGGGGGCAATGGGAAAAACAGAATCAAGCTCCTGAGATTCATTACAGACGTTCCGGAATGGGGTCCTCACCTCGATGCCGGAGTCGTGGTAGGAGTGCTGAGCTGGCGGGCGCTGGAATTCTGCAGGTGGAGGTGGAGGTGGAAAGTCACATGCTGCTGGAGGGCGGAGGTCGGAGTGCTGAGCTGCTGGACGCTGGAAGTCGATAGGTGGAGGTCGAGGTGGAAAGTCACATGCTGCTGGAGGGTGGAAGTCGGAGTGCTGAGCTGCTGGACGCTGGAAGTCGATGGGTGATGGAGGTGGAGAATCGGATGCTTGAGGATCGAGGTCGGAGTGCTGAGCCGGTGTACGCTGGAGGTCGATGGGTGGAGGTGGAGGTGGAAAGTCACATGCTGCTGGAGGGCGGAGGTCGGAGTGCTGAGCTGCTGGACGCTGGAGGCCGATGGGTGGAGGTGGAGGTTGAAAGTCACATGCTGCTGGAGGGCGGAGGTCTGAGTGCTGAGCTGGTCGATGCTGGAGGTCGATGGGTGGAGGGAGGTTGAAAGTCACATGCTGCTGGAAGGCGGAGGTCGGAGTGCTGAGCTGCTGGACGCTGGAGGTCGACAGGTGGAGGTGGAGGTTGGAGGCCACATGCTGCTGGAGGGTGGAGGTCGGAGTGCTGGGCTGCTGGACGCTGGAGGTCGATAGGTGGAGGTGGAAGTGGAAAGTAGGCAGCTTGAGATTCGAGGTCGGAGTGCTGAGCTGCTGGGCGCTGGAAGTCGATGGGCGGACGTGGAGGTGGAGAGTCGGATGCTTGAGGATCGAGGTCGGAGTGCTGAGCCGCTGAACGCTGGAGGACGATATGTGGAGGTGGAGGTGGAAAGTCACATGCTGCTGGAGGGCGGAGGTCGGAGTGTTGAGCTACTGGACGTTGGAGGTCGACAAGTGGGGGTGGAGGTATAAGTGGAAAGTCGGGTGTTTGAGGCTCGAGGTCCGAATCCTCAGCTGGTGGACGCTGGAGGTCGATGGTTGGAGGTGGAGGGAGAAATTCATATGCTGTTGGAGGGCGGAGGTCGGAGTGCTGATCCGCTGGGCGCTGGGGGTCGGAGCCGGGCTTGAGTGCAGGAGTCAGCATCTCGATGATCTCCTTGTCGTAGTAGTCGGGCAAAGTCCTCGGGCGACAGATCTCCTGAGAAGGGGGTAAGACTCGTCGTAAACCTACAGGGACATCTCCAGGGACAGTCACGCATTTTCCTCGGCCTCCCCCTGCTGACCCAGGGGGGACGGTGGAATGCCGAGGTCGGAGGTCGGAGTGGGGAACAGGTGTTGGGGAGCCAGAGGGGCCAGAGTAGGGAGCCGGAGTCGAAAAGACAGGTCCTTGTCTGCGGGATGGGGTCGTCGCCGGCGTAGTCGCTGCATCCGCAGGCGGCGAGACGCAAGGATGTTCAGCAAGAGCTTGTGGTGGGGATCTGTCCTGGGCCGATCCTGATAGAAGAGCTACTTTGGGACGTTCCCCCTCCCCTTGTATATCGATTCCCCGACCTCCGCCTGAAGAACGGTTTTGGTGGGTGGGGGCAATGGGAAAAACAGAATCAAGCTCCTGAGATTCATTACAGACGTTCCGAAATGGGGTCCTCACCTCGATGCCGGAGTCGTGGTAGGAGTGCTGAGCTGGCGGACGCTGGAATTCTGTAGGTGGAGGTGGAGGTGGAAAGTCACATGCTGCTGGAGGGCGGAGGTCGGAGTGCTGAGCTGCTGGACGCTGGAAGTCGATAGGTGGAGGTCGAGGTGGAAAGTCACATGCTGCTGGAGGGTGGAAGTCGGAGTGCTGAGCTGCTGGACGCTGGAAGTCGATGGGTGGACGTGGAGGTGGAGAGTCGGATGCTTGAGGATCGAGGTCGGGGTGCTGAGCCGGTGTACGCTGGAGGTCGATGGGTGGAGGTGGAGGTTGAAAGTCACATGCTGCTGGAAGGTGGAGGTCGGAGTGCTGAGCTGCTGGACGCTGGAGGTCGACAGGTGGAGGTGGAGGTTGGAGGCCACATGCTGCTGGAGGGTGGAGGTCGGAGTGCTGAACTGCTGGACGCTGGAGGTCGATAGGTGGAGGTGGAAGTGGAAAGTAGGCAGCTTGAGATTCGAGGTCGGAGTGCTACGCTGCTGGACGCTGGAAGTCGATGGGTGGACGTGGAGGTGGAGAGTCGGATGCATGAGGATCGAGGTCGGAGAGCTGAGCCGCTGAACGCTGGAGGTCGATATGTGGAGGTGGAGGTGGAAAGTCACATGCTGCTGGAGGGTGGAGGTCGGAGTGTTGAGCTACTGGACGTTGGAGGTCGATAAGTGGGGGTGGAGGTATAAGTGGAAAGTCGGGTGTTTGAGGCTCGAGGTCCGAGTCCTCAGCTGGTGGACGCTGGAGGTCGATGGTTGGAGGTGGAGGGAGAAATTCATATGCCGTTGGAGGGCGGAGGTCGGAGTGCTGATCTGCTGGGCGCCGGGGGTCGGAGCCGGGGTTGAGTGCGGGAGTCAGCATCTCGATGATCTCCTTGTCGTAGTAGTCGGGCAAAGTCCTCGGGCGACAGATCTCCTGAGAAGGGGGCAAGACTCGTCGTAAACCTAAAGGGACATCTCCAGGGACAGTCACGCATTTTCCTCGGCCTCCCCCTGCTGACCCAGGGGGGACGGTGGAATGCTGAGGTCGGAGGTCGGAGTTGGGAACAGGTGTTGGGGGGCCAGAGGGGTCAGAGTAGGGAGCCGGAGTCGAGAAGACAGGTCCTTGTCTGTGGGATGGGGTCGTCGCCGGCGTAGTCGCTGCATCCGCAGGCGGCGAGACGCAAGGATGTTCAGCAAGAGCTTGTGGTGGGGATCTGTCCTGGGCCGATCCTGATAGAAGAGCTACTTTGGGACATCCCCCCTCCCCTTGTATATCGATTCCCCGACCTCCGCCTGAAGAACGGTTTTGGTGGGTGGGGGCAGTGGGAAAAACAGAATCAAGCTCCTGAGATTCATTACAGACGTTCCGAAATGGGGTCCTAACCTCGATGCCGGAGTCGTGGTAGGATTGCTGAGCTGGCGGACGCTGGAATTCTGTAGGTGGAGGTGGAGGTGGAAAGTCACATGCTGCTGGAGGGTGGAGGTCGGAGTGCTGAGCTGCTGGACGCTGGAAGTCGATAGGTGGAGGTCGAGGTGGAAAGTCACATGCTGCTGGAGGGTGGAAGTCGGAGTGCTGAGCTGCTGGACGCTGGAAGTCGATGGGTGGACGTGGAGGTGGAGAGTCGGATGCTTGAGGATCGAGGTCGGAGTGCTGAGCCGGTGTACGCTGGAGGTCGATGGGTGGAGGTGAAGGTGGAAAGTCACATGCTGCTGGACGGTGGAGGTCGGAGTGCTGAGCTGCTGGACGCTGGAGGCTGATGGGTGGAGGTGGAGGTTGAAAGTCACATGCTGCTGGAGGGCGGAGGTCGGAGTGCTGAGCTGGTGGACGCTGGAAGTCAATGGGTGGAGGTGGAGGTTGAAAGTCACATGCTGCTGGAAGGTGGAGGTCGGAGTGCTGAGCTGCTGGACGCTGGAGGTCGACAGGTGGAGGTGGAGGTTGGAGGCCACATGCTGCTGGAGGGCGGAGGTCGGAGCGCTGAGCTGCTGGACGCTGGAGGTCGATAGGTGGAGGTGGAAGTGGAAAGTAGGCAGATTGAGATTCGAGGTCGGAGCGCTGAGCTGCTGGACGCTGGAAGTCGATGGGTGGACGTGGAGGTGGAGAGTCGGATGCATGAGGATCGAGGTCGGAGTGCTGAGCTGGTGGACGCTGGAGGTCGATAGGTGGAGGTGGAAGTGGAAAGTAGGCAGATTGAGATTCGAGGTCGGAGCGCTGAGCTGCTGGACGCTGGAAGTCGATGGGTGGACGTGGAGGTGGAGAGTCGGATGCATGAGGATCGAGGTCGGAGTGCTGAGCTGGTGGACGCTGGAGGTCGACTGGAAGTGCTGATGTCTTGCTCGAGGTCGGAGTGCTGAGCTGGTGGACGCTGGAGGTCGATGGGTGGAGGTGGAGGTGGAAAGTCACATGCTGCTGGAGGGTGGAGGTCGGAGTGCTGAGCTGCTGGACGCCGGAGGTCGATGGGTGGAGGTGGAGGTTGAAAGTCACATGCTGATGGAGGGCGGAGGTCGGAGTGCTGAGCTGGTGGACGCTGGAGGTCGATGGGTGGAGGTGGAGGTGGAAAGTCACATGCTGCTGGAGGGTGGAGGTCGGAGTGCTGAGCTGCTGGGCGCTGGAGGTCGACAGGTGGAGGTGGAGGTTGGAGGCAACATGCTGCTGGAGGGTGGAGGTCGGAGTGCTGAGCTGCTGGACGCTGGAGGTCAATGGGTGGAGGTGGAGGTTGAAAGTCACATGCTGCTGGAGGGTGGAAGTCGGAGTGCTGAGCTGCTGGACGCTGGAGGTCGATAGGTGGAGGTGGAGGTGGAAAGTTGGATGCTTGAGACTCGAGGTCGGAGTGCTGAGCTGCTGGACGCTGGAGGTCGATGTGTGGAAGTGGAGGTTGAAGGCCACATGCTGTTGGAGGGTGGAGGTCGGGGTGCTGAGCTGCTGGACGCTGGAGGTCGATAGGTGGATACGATCCGGGAAGCCCAAAGAAGTCACCAGGAATTCTCCACGAGACCTCCAAGAAGCCCTCGGACTGTATAGACTCTTCCACGGGGTGCCGAAGGGGGGCCCAAGAGGCCTCCAAAGGTGCTCTCGAGAGGGTCCCAAGAGGCAAAAATCATTGATGTTCCCTAGGTGTTTGACAGATTTGGGCGTTCTCGCCTTTTCTGCTTCCCGCCTCTCCAAGACAGCCGAAGAAGCCCTCAAGATCGCCCCAAGACGGCCCAAGAGGCTTCCAAGAGCGCTCCGAAACATCGCAAGAGAACCCCAAGACAGCCCAAAACGCCTCCAAGACGGCCCAAGAGGCCCCAAAGACGGCTCCAAGAGCGTGCCTTGACGGGGAACCCGAACGAACACTTCGAGCCCTCGGCCCCGAGAACTTCCCAGGAGACCCCCGGAGGTTCCCAAGAGGCCCCAAAAAGCCTACAAGAGGCCCCCAGAGCACCCGAAAAGGCCCCCAAGAGGCCCCCAAGAGGCTCCCCAAGAGACCCCCAAAATTCCCCCCCAGAGGCCCCCGATAGCTTCGGCAAGAGACCCTAAGAAGCATCCCTGAGGACTCGGGCTCACGTCAGCGTCGTCGTCGTCGCCGCCGCCGCCACCGCCGCCGTCGTCGTCGACATCGGCGGCACCGGCCGTAAGGCCGTCGCAATAATTCGCATTATACTCGACCAGTCATGAAGCAACTCGGGGGATGGTCCAACAAACAATAATCTTCTACACTCACAGCACGCGACGACGACGGCAACAACGACGACGGCAGAGACGCGACGGTAACGACGACCGACGGCGGCGGCGGCGACGACGACGACGACGACGACGACCAAACGACGACCAAGACCCCCTCAGCACATCTCTCACCACCTCTCCCTCAACGTCACCCTCCCCAAATACCTCGGACGCATCCTCGCCATGTTCAAGGAAATCTGTATGGCCTGAAACTCCCACAACTTGGCGGGGAATCGAAGAGCGGCTACAATCTCCCTCATCCCTCTCCCTTTGGACCCTCCCCTGACAGAAGCCCCTCGCCACATCCCCTCGCTGCGCTGTGGAATTGTTGGGTGCCTCACAAACCCCAAACTTCAGGCATATTGAAGTCCCAGAGTCAATGGGATATATTTGAAATCCTTCGAAAAAACATTCATTGTCGACTCCGCCGTTCACATGGCAACGCTTCGGCGGAAAAAAAAAAAAAAAAAAAAAAAAAAAAAAAAAAAAAAAAAAAAAAAAAAAAAAAAAAAAAAAAAAAAAAAAAAAAAAAAAAAAAAAAACTCGCCACGTGGCAACGCCAAGCGGCTGAAAATGCACTACAATGCTCTACGCGTCACGTGGCAACGACGGGGGGCGCAAACAAGCAGCACTGCACATCACTGGTCACAAGGGTAAGGCCTGGGGGGAGAAACGAATCCTATTACATCAGCTCGCCGCGCGGCAACGCAGAGCTGGTAACACGCTGCTTCATCAAATTTGCCACGAGGCAATGCCAGGCGGCAGGATATATAGCACTGTGCTCTACCCGTCACTCAGCAAAGCAAAGGGGGGGGCGAACACGCACTCGTCTACTCTACTTGCCGCGTGGCTTCGCAAAGGACCCTAGCAATATTATTCAACACCGCTCGTCGCGAGGCGTCGCAAGGGGCGGAAGGAAACAACTAATGCGTTGTTCGGCCCGTCAGACGGCAACGCGGGCGGGCAAACAATACAAAATTCTCCTCCACTCGCCAAGCGCGCGGGGGGTAGGCCCCCCCCCCTCCGTTCCCCCTCCTCGCCCCCCCAAACCTCCCTCAACCTGCCCCCCTCAATGTCACCCCCCCCCCACGCCGGAGTCTTCGCCCGTGTTATGCGAAATCCGCCTGGCCACGCACTCCCAGACCATGACGGGAAATCAAATCGAAGATCGGCCCCCATCTCCCTCACCCCTCTCCCTGTGGACCTCCTCAGCCCGAAGACACCCCCCTCCCCACTTTCCGCCATTCCTGTGTCAAGTGCCACAGAATTCCCAATCCTTACGGATTTCACGGGGCCCTGCGGAATGGCGGAGCCTCTGCATTCCCTTTCCCTTGCGCCAAATATCAGTCCAATATATGCTCTTCATCCGTGTGAAACCCTGCAGCCCTCCTCGAGGCCGCTGCGCACGCTGGCGGGCTCGTCAGCCCCACAAGTTAAATCACACTTTACGTGTCGAAACTCATCAGTCTCGACCATGCAAACTAAACAACCATGGTAAAGGAAACCAATCTTCATCGTAAACGTTAGGCCTTGAAACGTTCAAATCCTGCGCGCTCTGCCACATCGGGAGGTGATCAATCTCCGTCGCAAATCATCTGAACAAGCCGGCTCTGCTCAGCCAAGATAGTATCTCATACTGTACATCCAGGGTATGTGCACCAGATCTAACTCAAACTCCAGGCCCCCCAGTCTTGCGATGACAAGGGGCGTGTCTCGACCATCAGCGTATCTGTAGCCCTTACTCCTGCTCTTGTATGTCACAGGCCCCTGAAGAATCACGGACATCATCTTCTTCTTCGCGTGCAGCTCCGACTCGGGCGAAACGTCACGGCCTCGCCTCTTCGACGGCGTCCTGGCAAAACCCCCGCCTCGTATTATACTGGTCGAAACGGCGTAGCCCGTGTCTCCCCCCACAACTCCATCTTGCTTCGCCTTCACCACAAGCACAGAGTAGCTCACAGCCTCTGCAATCATCGTACCCAGCGGGTGCGATAAACAGCTCCACCAACTGAACTCGTTCGCAATGCTCACGTTGATGTTAACGCCGTCACCATAGTAGTAGCCCACCGAGGCCTCCGTAGCTGAGGTGCTTGCCATAGCGGCCAGCACTTTCACCAACACCTCGGGTCTCTTGCGGCTCGTGGCGGTAATTGAGATCAGCCAAAGCGTCTTCAGATGCCTCTTGAGCGTCTCCTCGTCCATCGGCCTAGTTCCGATGTCCACAACCTGCTCTTTCGCATTTACCTTCTCCATCTCAATCTCTCCGTCGCGCACCAGGTCTCGATGCCATATCCACTTTGTCTGTAGATGTCTGACACGCCCAACTCCGCATCTGTGAATCATACCTTTCACTGCTGCCGAATCCGTCTGTAAAACCAGTGTTATCTGAATATGCTCGCCCCTCATATGCGCCATCTCTTGCAACACGCGCTTGATGGTAAGTCCCCTAGCCGTGCCTAAACCCATCGCATAAAACTCCGACTCTCCACTCGGCAACGCCACCGTCGCCTGAGACAGAACCCAACTCTCCAGAAAGTGAAATCCCAATCGAACTCCCCCTGATGAAATACTCTTGAACGTCGCCCCCAGTCCTGCCCAGTCCGCGTCTGCCGGCGCTGTCACCTTGAACGCGGCCTCTAGGTACGGGTAGAAAATCACCATGCCCGCTGCCCCTTTCAAGTATCGTACCAGCCTCTTCTGCTTCAGAATGCGCCTCACCCTCGGGTCGTTATATGAACAACTCTGCTCTCGAACAGCTTCGTGGGCATCCCATCTGTCTCCTGCCATGCACCGAGCAATGCCTCCACAACTGCGGTATATCATAGCGCTCTGCCGTCCAACTGGGCCATCAACTTCACGAACGCCCTTCGCATCTCCAGGATCAGCTTCGGGTCGGGCAAAATACCGAAGCCCCCCTCGGCCCAGAGCAGTGTCCTGTTGAGAGACGTACCCCCCACCGCTCCACCTAGACCCACTCGAGGTTCTGGCTTGACCTTGAATCTGCTCGCCATCAGCTCATCGAACTCGTTCAGCTCCTCATCATGAGCCTCCACCACAAAATCGTATCCATGCCCAGCGCATAGAGAATCCTTCCCAGGGTGGTAATACAAGCAACACACCGTCTTTAACTCCTCAGTCCAGTGATGCTTGAAGTTGTCTCGAACTTCTCCTTGGGATAACATCGATGCTTCTGGCGTCCCATACATAGCCTTCGTCGGCTTCCATAGCATACTTGGTCGCCGTTGCTCTGGTGGTGGCCAGCAATACCGAGGCCCCTTCAGCGACGCGTGGAAAAACGCCACTGAAATGTCGCAGAGCCCGAGCTTCTTCTTTCGTGCGTCAGTAGACCTCAAAGAAGCTGCCCGTGATATAACCAACTTGACTGCCCATAGCGCGGGTGTCCCTGCGAAATTCGTGGGGCTGGTTCCGTCGCTATACCTTCTGTGAACGCATCTGCTCCTCACGATCCACTCACCCGTTTGTAAGTCGTACTTCTTGCTGTCGATCCATTTGGTGTCGAACGGCTGCATCCAATCCCCGAACGGTACCCATTCGAATACCTCGAACTCTTCCATGCTCTTCATCTCCTTCGCCCTTCCGTTGACGACCAGCTCCTTAAGCAACTCTTCTCCTGTATATGCGTCTCTGTAGACTCCATTTCCAACCGGCTTCTCGTAGTTGACCATTGGCTCGATCTCCTCGTAGACGCGTCGGTCTCCTTCCCTCGAGATCGGCATGATAATACCTATCTCCATGGGTCCCTCCAGCCTTGGTGCAGTAGGTGCTACGTCTCCGCCTGCCACGATCTCGCAACCTGTCACCTCCGCGTCCAGATCATGTACCTCACCGAAATGGTGACCCACAGGCGTACCTGGAGCTCGTGACCCTGCCGTCTCCAGTCGTGGTTCTTGAACTTGGACCACCGCGGGTGGTTGTTCTGCTTGAACTGGTGCTGCATCCCCCGCAGGCTGCGCAGGTTGTGCTGGAATCGCACTCTCTATCGCAGGTTCCGCCTCGTCGATGATCTTGGCGAACCTAGTCCTGCACCTCGCAGGGTGCATGGATGAGTTTCCCTCGCAAGCTGCGCACCCGTCCGTAGGTCCATGCTCCTCGATCAACGCTTTCGTGATGTACCTCCTTCTCCAAAACACCCCGTTCTGGCCCTTAACCTCCAAGCCTCTTGGTTTCCACGGAACTCGTATAAACGCGTTGTACACCTCCTCGTTGTATCGATCCTCCTTGGCTCTTAACTTCATAGTCCTGGCGTGCTCGATGCCTCGTGACGCCCCCACAATGATCTCGCCACTCTCGTCGCGCCTATCTCGGCTCCAGCTTTGGATAGTCCTTAGCCTGGATATTGTAGTCGACCGCCTCGCCTATCTTCCCCAACTCCGGCTTGAACTGGCACGTCCAAGTCGCCCTCAAGCTCCCCCCCCCCCCCGTCAGTCTTGATAGCGAACCTTGTGAGCAAGTAACCCACAGGTCTGGCCAGCCACGGCACGATCAAACTCTTCGGCACAATCTTCACGCTCAGGTTCGTCTCCAGCTCGCTGCACAACGTCCGCAACAGCGACTCCACTCTTTCGGCTGTGTTCTCGATCGACCGTTGCTCTGATGTGACCCTTTCGGTGCTTTCTCCACTTGCGCGCTGTGCTTCCTCCTGTTCTTTACCGCCGTGGTCACTGCCTGTAGCGATGCCCCCTGGTCACCCTTCAGGATGATATCCGCTGGGCCCCAGACGTCGATGTAAGACTCCACTGCTGAATTGACGTACTCGCTGGGCCCCTTGTGAATCACCATGACCGCCGCTACGCAATCCTCTGGCTTCTGAACCACAACCAAGATCGTGACCACGTCCGTCTCCGCCTCGGCATCACGAAGCAGTAGCCCAGGCGGATCACAGGCATCGTCGGCGCCTCGCCAGGATTAGCCCCCCTTGCGACCACCCCCCTGGCCTCTGCCAAAAACACCAATTACACCAGTCACGAAATGGCATATGAGTCCTCTCGTGCATGGCGATATCCTCCGCTGTCGCCTTGCATCTCTCCCTCTGCATCTCGGGCAGCTGCGCCCCCTCGTTATCCAGCCGATCAGGGGGTTCTGGTAATTGGTCTTCTGCTTCTGGAAGCGGGCGCGGCGATCGCGCGCCCACGTCGAAGCCGCGGAGATACCACACCTCTTTGGGATCGTGGGCGACTTGCTACCTTCCTCCTTCATCAGCTCCTCGATGTTCTTGCTCACCGTGGGGTTTAATACTGCGCCCCCGCCGTCATCGAACCACGCGCCCTGTGACCCCTTCGTCAGGCCACCGACTGCTATGATCGTCTTGTGTACGTCTCGAACGTCGAACTGGCATCGGACCGATTGCTTGGTGCCAAATACCTCCACACGTACCGTCTTGCAGCCGTCGGCATAGATCTTGGTACCACCCGCTCGTCGCAGCGGCGGCGCTTCCGAACCCCCCCCCGCGGGATCTGCGGTGCAAAACCTGGTGGGCATACACTCCTCGCCGCACATGAATCGACCAGCACCTAGATCTCCCTGTCGTCACCTCGATCATCCCACCTGGTAAAAAGTTATTAATCGAAATCAGAAGCCTCTCGTCATTCTCATACTCGTCGTAATTCGGCCCCTTCTCCGACTCCTCATTGCGATCTAACTTCTCTGCGCGGTCGAACTCCCCCCCCTCGCCAGCCCCGATCATGAAGACGCAGCCCTCCTCGGCGTCGCAGACTGGGCCCACTTAACTAACATCCTTGTCCGTGAGCTCGGGCGTCGGCGCATTCGTCTTACCAGTCTCGTCATTGCCCCTGCCCGTGCCCTTACTGATCCTTCGGGGCCCGTCTTCATTGACCTTACTGCCCTTCATGTCCTGCGCTGCCTTCCTGCATTCCTTGAGCGCATGACCTTTCTTCAAGCAAGACTTGCGCTGTGAGGTGCCACCATGGCCACAGCCCTTACCTCTGTTGTCTTCGCCTCTGCTGTTCTTACTATTGCCGTCATTGCCCTGCTTGCCGAACGTCAGCGCGTCTAAATCCATCGGCGCGGGTCCGTTGAGTGCCAGCGCCGCCTGTTTTGATCCCGAATGGTTCAGCACCTCTGCCCTCACCAACGCGTACGTAGTGAACCTCGTCACATTCAACATCAGGTGCTCTCTCAGCTTCTGCGGTACTAGGCGCGTGCTGATCACTGATTTCTTGGTCGACTCCATCACCTTCTCCGTTGTCTGCTCCTCGTACCTCTGAACCATCGCCCCCCATGATACGACGCCCCTGATCGGGTCGTGCCCCTGAAACGTCGGGCACAGAATCGCATCCAGCATGCCTGGGAACCTGGAGGGGACCTTCGGCTCAAACTCGACACACAACGATATCCATGCTTCCAGTCCCCCTGCAGCTGCAACACTCTTCACTATGCCCTGCGCCTTGCCCTTGCAGGTCAGGACTTATATGTAATACAAGTTCGCGTTCACTCTCTGCGCATCCTCATCCAAATCTCAGCGTTCCATCGGCTCTGCGTCTGCCTTCGCGGCATCACGCATCAGCTCGGCCACGTGCGGATCCACCGCCATGAAGTAGGCTGACAGGACGAAGCCCCAGTCCCCCCACGCAACTCCGTCTCGATACTTCGCATTTTCATGTAATGTCCTGAGAACTTGTCTGGCTTGCCGAGCAGCTTCGCGTCTACGAGTGACTCTCGAATCGGAGCTCTCTGTTGATCGTCTTGAGTTCACTGTTCAACTCCTGTCGCTGCTGCTCGTGCCTCTTGCAACTGCAGTTCTAGCGTCGCGATCTGCTCTCTGCTGGACCACAGCACCCTCCATCGCCACAACTCGGGCCAGCACATCTTGCAAAGAGGACATCTATGCGCGAGAACGCTGGAGCCTGGCCGCGGGCACAACCAGGCTCCGCTACCATGCGGAATGGCGGAGCCTCTGGGTTCCCTTTCCCTTGCGCCAAAAATATCAATCCAATATCTGCTCTCCATCTGCGTGAAACCCTGCAGGCCCAACGAGAATTCTCATGCGCACAACATCCGTAGGAATCCTCCGAAATCCGTTGGGCATGGTGGGAATTCTCCGGAGGCCACTGATCGTTTACTACGCCCGCCACTCAGCAACGACGCGGGGCAAATGGGCGCGACATAAATAGCGCACTGTCGTCGCCAAGCGGCAGAAGCACGGGGGGGGGCATAAAACGATTCCACTGCACTCCTCGCGCGGCAACGCGGGAGGCCGCAGACAAGGAGCAGCGTGCGTCGCCCGTCGCGTGGCAACGCCTGGGGGGCGAAAAAACAAGAGTCGATGATGTTCGCCGCGCGGCCATGCAGACAGACCGCGTAAAACTGCTCCTCCATACTGCGGAAACAAACGAAATTCTCCTCGACCCAGGGGGACCGATGTTCTATTACTGAAACCACGCGCGCGTTTCGCGCTTACGTTCCAGCAAGCGCCAGCCCTCGACAAGGTCACGGCTGCACGCATTAACAAGATCGCGGGTGCACGCATGCGCGCACCCACGAAAAACCGCAGCTCTAGCGCAGGGCTTGCTCAACACAGTGAGTGCATGCCGCGATGCTTGTTGGCGTTGATCCCAAAGCGTATTGTGAGGCATTGATTCACTGAGGGGGCCTCGGGCTTTTGGCCTGGTTGCGTGGTCAATTTAGAAAGCTGGACGCCTTGGACCTCTTAGGGCCAGCTGGGCCGTCGCGCGCTTCGCGCGCGCTTCAGTTATGGCACGTTTCAGTTGTGTCCCACAAACGTACATGCATACATCCCTACACCCGTCCATTCCTATACCACTCCAACCGAACATTAATCCATACATCACGTCATCTGGAATTGATGAATACCTTCATCCAAATACCTTCGTCCAGGCAGCCGGAAAACACACATGACACACCTGTGAAATCGTGTATACAGGCATCAATCGATTCAGTTCTCTTCACAAGCATCAATGCACCACGAACCCATCCAGGCGCCCATACAACACGCATCGAATGATACATTTCTCAAGCGGGGAGGGTCACCCGTAGGCTGCTAGAACCTGCCTTCAAAAAACCCGAAGGTCCCCAGTAAACACGAAGGTCGCCCAATGCGCCCAGTGCTGCACACCCCTCATGCGGATCGCGCCCAACAGGGAGCACCACCCTCAGTTCAAGAGAAAAGGTTCGCACAGCATGCTCCAGCCCATTTCAGACGCCCCCCACGCGAATAGTGCACCAGAAATAATTCCACCGATGGCACTAAAAGGCAGCTTCGCATGGCGTCCCCCCGCCCATCTTGGCATTGGCATATGCCCCATACCGGTCGTACCCCACAAAGGTGCTCCACCTGCGGCGTCAACGCCCTTCGCCCGGCTCATGGTTTGTTTATCTACTGGCCTTGGGCTCATACCACCACCGTGCATGGGCCGTTGGTTTGGGGCTTCTTGGACACGTACCTGTTGGGGTCTCTTGGTATGCTTCTCGGGCGCCTCTTGGAACCAGTTTTAAAACCTATGTGGGCCTCTGAGGGGCTCTTTGGGGGTTTCTCGGGGTCTCGTTTGGGCATCTTGGGGGCCTCTTGCGGCGCGCTGGCGGTCTGAGAAGTCAACTTGGAGCGGAGGGCTCGAAATGTGAGCTAGAGTTCTCCCTCATGGGCCCTTCTTTGGGCCATCTAAAAACGTTTTGGGCGCCTCTTGGACCACCCCACGGCTCTGTTGGGCAGATTTGGGGTTCTCTTGGGGGCCGTTTTGGCCGTCTTGGGGCAATCGCGGGGGCCTCTTGGACCGTTTTGGACGATATTTCAACCTAAAAAACGGAGATGCTGAAAATGCACGTTTTCCAAAAGAGTGACGCAACTTTGGACATCTGGGGCCCTCATGAGGAGGATATTGGGGCCTTCCCGGGGAGTCTTGGGGGCCTCTTGAGGATTCTTCGGCCATCTTGAAGCCATCTTGAGGTGTGTCGGGGGCCTGTTGGGGCCGCTCTGGTCACTCATTGTGATCCCCGGATACGATTTGAGCGGCCGCGAGCAGGCCCGGGAGGACCCCGAAGAGGTTCAGACTTCCCGCGCCGAAAAAGGGTCGGGGGGGAATCCGGGAGGGTGGGCTAGATTGGGGCACGGCCCTCCCGTACCCCAGTATATAGATACATCTGTATATATAACACACGCATACGCATACGCATACGCATACGCATACGCATACGCATACGCATACGCATACGCATACGCATACGCATACGCATACGCATACGCATACGCATACGCATACGCATATGCATACGCATACGCATACGCATACGCATACGCATACGCATACGCATACGCATACGCATACGCATACGCATACGCATACGCATACGCATACGCATACGCATACGCATACGCATACATACATACATACATACATACATACGTACGTACATACATACATACATACATACATACATACATACATACATACATACATACATACATACATACACCTACATACATACATACACTTACATACACATTAATACATACATACATACATACATGCATGCATGCATGCATGCATGCATGCATACATACATACATACATAGATGCATGCATGCATACATACATGCATGCCTGCCTGCCTGCCTGTCTGTCTGTCCACCTACCTATGTATGCATGCATGTATGCATGTATGCATGCATACATACATGCATACATACATGCGTCCATGCATGCATGCATGCATGCATACCTACCTACCTACCTACATACAAACACACATACATACATATATGCATACAATCATACATATATACATACATGCATACACGCATACCTACATGCATACATACACACATACATACATGCAGACAGACATGAACACGCACATACATGCATACATACATACATACGTGCATGCATATAGTCATACATGCATGTCTACATGCCTACATGCGTACATGCATACATGCATACGTACACACATGCATGCAGGCATACATACAAGCGCACATATATACGTACATGCATACATACATACAACATGCATACATGCATACAGGCATGTGCATATACATGAGGGTGCGTCGCTGGATCTCCCCAAGGGAGGGGGGTTAGGACCCACCCACCCTCCCCCCTTCCCCGATCCTGCGTCGGGACCCCCCCCTCCATCCCCCCCTTCCCCGATCCGTCGTCGGGGACCCCCCCCCTCCCCCCCTTTCCCCGACCCGTCGTCGGGACCCCCCCCCTCCCTCCCTTTCAAAAGGGGGGGGTGAGACCCCCCCCCCCCCCCCCCCCCTCCCCCCCTTTCGCAACGCCGCCCCCTGACTCCGTAACCCGACCCCCGCCAACCATACCCCTAGTCCTCACCCCAACCCAAACCCCCAATCCTAACCCCGACCACTAACCCCAGCCCCAAAGAGTACTCACTACTCATTACGCACTACCCACTACAAACTACTCGCTATTCGCTACTCACTTCTCACCCCCCCATTACTCACTACTCACGACTCACTACCCACTATCCACTACTCAGTACCCACCACCCACTACTCGCTACTCACTACTCCCTACTCACTACTCCCTCCTCCCTACTCACTACTCACTACTCACCCCCCACTACCCACTACTCAATACTCACTACTCACTAAGCACTACTCACTACTCCCTACTCACTACTCATTAATCACTCCTCATTGCCCACTATCCACTACTCACTACTCCCTACTAACTACTCCTTTTCCGCAAATCACTACTCACTACCCACTACTCGCTACTCGCTACTCCCTACTCCCTACACAATACTGCCTACACAGTATTCAGTACTCCCTACTCGCTACTCCCATACTCGCTACTCAATACTCACTACTCACTCCCCGCTACTCACTATTCACTACTCACTACTTACTACTCCCTACTCACGAGTCACCACATAATCTCTAGCCACTAGTCACAATTCACTAGTCACTAGTCATTACTCACTACCCACTACCCACTACCCACTACTCACCACTCGCTACTCACTACCCACTATTCGCTACCCACTTCTTACTACTCACTGCTCGCTACTCCCTACTCGCTACTCCCTACTCACTACTCACTATTCGCTACTCCCTACTCGCTACTCGTTAATCACTACCTACTACTCACTACTGCCTACTCTCTTCTCACTATTCACTACTCACTACGCCCTACTCGCTCCTCACTACTCACTACTCGATACTCCCTACTGGCTACTCACTACTCACTACCCACTGCCACTACCCACTACTCTCTATTCATCACTACT